CAAATTTATGGTTCAGTAAAAAATAGAATTTAGTAAATTTTTGTAATAATAAGATTATTTTGAGGTATTTATGTGATATAATGTATTAGTTCTATATAAATAGCATTTCTTTAGAAGCGGAAAAATATATTTTGCAAATATATATATAATATTATTTTGCTAAATATTGAACTTAAAAATGTAATGAACATTACTATAAAATTTTATCAGTTTATTGCATCAACCAAAAATTATTCTATGCTTAATTAAGTTTTTCAACATCTATGCTTTTCAATATTTAACATATTTGATATTTTGTATCTCCTAAGTCCGAGGTTTCATTTAAAGGATATTTCATAATATAAGTTATTTTTAATTATAATCATATTATATTTAAAAAGATATTAAAATAAATTAATTTTATCTAATATTTTTTCCTAGAAAATAAATAAATATTCATCTTTTATTTAAGGATGAAATTTTGTAAATCTCTCTTGATAATTATTTTAAATAAATACGATTTATTATTTACTAATATTTTATATTAACTGTAAATCCATAAGAATTAATAGATTAATTTATATATTTTTCATAAAAATTTATTAGAATTTTCCAAAATTAGTGTTCCTTTTATGATATTCATAATGGCTCTTTAAAATAGATAAATTTTCGGTTGAGTTTTCACATATGTTTGGAATTAATTCAAAAATTAAATATAAACTAGAAAATAATTTTATATATAAATTTCCTTAAAGTTGCTTTTGGAGCCTAATTTGATTGTAGATAAGGCATTTTGCAAAGAAATTATATACTATTGGTAGAGTTTGACAATTTAAATTATATTGAAAAAAAAGTAGAAAGTTACTGTTATTAAACAGACAACAAAATAAAAATTAATTCTTATTTTAGTCGGACTTTTATATCTAATTATAATATATTAAATTTAAAAAAATTGAATACCAAAGGACGCTATATCTTCTAAATTGTAGTTTAAGATTTTATTTTTGTTATAGAAATTCACCTATTTAATATATCTTAAATTATAATAAATCATTAATTATATTAATGATTTAATCTAGCTTTGCAATAATTCTTTATCTGAATTGTTTAATCAAAGTTTTTGGAATTCAAGAAACGATATCAACTTCATTTAAGGATAGCACTTTTTCTGATGCTGATAGTAATTAAAATTCATTAAAATTTAGATTGGGTTGTAGTTGGAGCCTAACCGTAAATTACATAATGTTCAACTAAGACATTGTTTGGAGGATATAATATTTTTGGAGCAAAAACAAGTATTACAAAAACCATAGCACTTCCACCCCATTATTAGTTAAATATGGCGTTTTTATTTTGCAAGTAAGTTCTATAAAATATGATAGCATTGATATATCGAATGTTTATATGCTTATAGTCTATTTTGATTAGAATATTGGATATTCGGTTTAAGTATCTCCAACTCAAGCAAATTCGATATGTGGGAATGGGGCAGTGGGCGACTCATGCTCTAATTTTAGGGCAACTTTTAGTCATTCAAGTCCTACAGCCGTAATTTTGGTCACTACTACTATGACTTAACCAGCCGATTAGGTAAGAACATTAAAATATTTTTAAGCAATTTTGGGGAATTAGAGATATCATTATATATGTTGATAAATGTCCCGATGGATGCTTACTATGCAAAGCTACTGATTTAACTGTTTAATGTTTAGGTTGGCAGGTATTCCACACAAGTTGGGCCTAACTAAATATAAATGAAATATCATCCGATGGTTGGAATGTAAATTTTGGAATTGCTGAAGCAACATAATGTGGATGTAAAAAAGATTGAATATGAATTAGCTACGGCTTTATTTGGTGGTTCTAACAAGTTCGGAGTGGATACTGATCTCAGTCAATCTTTTTTTAACATTCCAAAACATGATAAATTGAGGATTTAATTTTTATGGACGAAAATTGAGTCCTGGAATTAAGAAGCAGCATCTATGTTAGTAAATGGTGCCAAGGTTTGGGAAACAAAATTTTTGTCGTCTGATGGTTATAATTGGTAGATTTGTGGAGAACAACCAGACAAAAATTTAAAAACATGTTTTTATAGAGTTGATGTAGAATTAAATCAAACGAGTCAATTAGATATCACTTTTACTACAAATATATATAGCACTACTTAGCAATAGTCATTTGGAATCAGGGACTTTGTAATTTATACTAGATATTGCCCTTAAGGAACATATTGGACTGGGGTTTCCGATTTCATTTGTTAATGTATTTGTGTATTATTTTAATTTAGACTGCTACAAATCATGCTACAAATGTGATGGCCCAAATTAAGAAGACTGCACTGATTGCGGAGACCCTACGATATATAAAAAATAATTAGTGGCTGGTTAATGTAAATGCATATCAAGAACAATTGAATAGGATAACATTGATGGGACTACTTCATGTTAAAGTATTTTAGTCTTAATTATACATATTAGCTTGCAATCCTAAATGTGAGAGGTGTTATAAGCCTTTTGATAATACTGTTAATTAATATTGCACAATGTGTTTAGAAGGTTTGAATAGAGTTGTTTCTGATTAATTTATGTGTGTTTGCAGAACAGGTTATGGCGAGGATGGCATTTCTGAAGCTTGCTTTAGTAATAATTTTCTTAATTTTAGAATGTCATTATACTTGTGAACATTGCAATGGTTTCTTAGCAAATAATTGTACTACCTGCTCATCCTAGTCTAATCGTATTCTGACTTCTGATAATCAATGTATATGCAACATAGGATATTATGATACTGGAATCAATGATATCATCTGTAAAAGTAATTTATTAAATATCTCAATTTACAGAAATTTGCCATAATACATGCTCAAGTTGTACATTAGCTGGAGTAGATTAATGTACAGGTTGTCCAATTACAAGAAAACCTGATAGAACAGGAACCACTTTTCAATGCTTGTGCAAAAATTCTCACTAATATAGTGACGAAACAAAATTAGAATGTTAAGAATGTCATTTAACTTGCTTAACTTGTAATGGCGGTTAGGATAGTAACTGTTTAACCTGCGACATTGCTTATCGGAAATTATCAATGTAGAAATGTATTTGTCCTAATGGATATTATGACAAAGGCTAGTTAATCTGCTCCCGTAATTATTAAGAGTATTAAAAGCTTGCCATAAGAAGTGTATGACCTGCTTTGGTCCAGCTGAAAATAATTGTCTAACTTGTTCCAATAGTAACAATAGAGTATTCAAGACTAATCTGTGTATATGTCCAGATACATATATGGAAAAATAAGTTGGTGATGTTATGTGCTACAGTAAATAATATAATAAATACTAGAATGCTCATATCGCTGTTCTAGTTGCAGTGTTAAAATAGAAAATTGTACAGCATGTCCACTCTAATCTTATAGGGATTTAGGAACGGATAATTCATGCTCTTGCCAAGCTAATATGTATGACTAACTCAATAATCCAATTTGCATTCGTATATATCTAATTTAAAACTAGCCTGTCATTACACTTGCTTAACATGTAAAGGACCTGAATCAAATTAATGCTCATCCTGTTATACATAAATTATGAGACAATTGGATCCATCAGGGTCTTGTTTATGTATGAATAGCTACTATGATCCTGGAAAAGCTGGTTGTTTAGGTATAAATCAAACTATTTTAGCATGCAATCCCCGTTGTTTGAATTGTGCAATCTCTGCTGATAATTGTATATCTTGTAAATCAGATAGATACTTACAGGGGAATACTTGTATTTGCTAAAACAAGATAAATGGTGCTCTCATAAGCAAATACGAAAAATCAGGCAAAGTTGATTGTCTAAGTGAGATCTAATTAATTTAATATAGGTTGTCATTATTCTTGCTTAGATTGCTATGGATCCGAATTTAATCAATGTACTAAATGTTTGGATAGTGAGGGTAGAATTTTGTCTAATTCTACTTGTCTTTGTGCCTCCCCTAATATTGATATTGGAAAACCATAATGTTAATGTTTAATTTTAGAAATAAATACTAGAATGCCAATATAGTTGTGAAACTTGTGAACATATACTTATAAATTGTTTATCTTGTGCTCCAAATACTTTTAGAACTTTATCCATTTCACGATGTATTTGCTAATAAGGTTATTTTGATGATGGATCTAATCCTATATGCTAAAGTACTTTAGAATTAAATAATTAATAGAATGCCACTATTCTTGTTAGTATTGTTCCTCTTTTTCGACTAAATGCGATGCATGTTCATCTACATTAAATAGAGAATTAAATCCATTGATGTTTACTTGTAATTGTAGGGAATCTTATTATGATACTGGTTATGAAGCCTGTTAAAAATGCCATTATTCTTGTTTGGCTTGTAATTCTTTTGGAAATGAATTTTGTGAATCTTGTAAAGACAAGTCAATTTCTTTTAGAGTCTTTAATAAAGGAGTCTGTTATTGCTTGCCTGGATATTTTGATGATGGAGCTTCTCCTAATTGTCAGAAATGCAAAATTTCATGTTTGACTTGTTAAAACACTGCAACTTATTGTACATCATGTGAATCAACGAGACATTCTGAAGGGAATAGTTGTTTATGTAATACAGGTTATTTTGAAATTGATCAAGTTTTATGTGATAAATGTGATCAGAATTGTTTAAATTGCTCAATTAATCCTAAGATGTGTACTGAATGTGATTCAATGAGAATTCTAAATAAAATAACTAAAACTTGCATTTGCAACCCTGGAACTATTGAAATTGATGA